CACGCCATCCGTTGAAAAAAGTTTTCAGGTGTTCAACAAGTCAGTCTATTCGCAAGTGAATAACAAGGGCGAAAAAATCAGTTCGAAAAAGCAAAGTGACGCCACCCACAATTCTCTCTTCATCGATTGAGCTTGCGAGCGCCTGAGCCACGCCACTCCGAGAGAGAGCAAGGAACGGAGAGCATACCCTGACCGGTTTGGCGTCAATCGGTGGGCTAGGGAGCGAGCAATCAATTGCGCTGTTGTCGCGCCTCTGTCAGAACGCGGCTTGTTTTCGGCTTTTTTGCCCTCTCGTGACGTTTGGGAGTCTCCACGTTTGGTGTGATGCGCCCTACCGACAACCAACAACCAACGTGTGGAACAGCAAACCCTTCACCATAGGGTTCGTCGGAGCCCTTGATGGGAGCGATACGTCAAGAACTCAGGTCGCACTCGCTGATTTTGTCTATCGAGGTGTCCACAACCCCCAAGTAAGATCAAGATGCAGTTATCCATACACACGTACATGCAAAAATCTTGGTCTTAGGGGGGGGTCGCTTTTATCTTGCCAAGGTTTTGAAGAATCAAGTTCAAGATTTGTTTGCCATAAACAGTGGTCTAAGATGAACAATAATGGAGCGATAGGGGTTCTGATGTTTTTTTCGTCGAAGGTATAAAAAGTTTCCAGCTGGCGACAAGTGCTCGTCCTTTTGACAGTCTCTCCTGTGGTTGATGAACCAGCAGCAGTACGCGGAAGCAACGACAGCAACAGGAACAGTTGGAGTCGAAGACATCCGACATGCTCTTCTACAAGGTGTTGGGCCTGCTAACTTGGCAAAGCCTGACGGCATGTAGCGCCTTCCATATACATCTACCATCGTCGCCCCGCGACACGCTGTTTTCCACCGCAACGCCGACGCAGCTGTCGATGAGCACCATCACCCCGCCAGGCCCGAGTACCGCTGCCTTGCCTGTTTTCACCGCGAGGACAGGAGAGGTTTTCGACTGGAACAAGCAGGTTCGACGCGTGTGTGTGTTCCCCCCGTTGCAAAGCGGTAGTCTTTCTGTGAGGTCGTTTTCACTCTCTAAAAAGCGGTGGCTTCCCGGTTGGATTTTTTCCGACTTACTTGATGACTTGATTGATTTGCTGCGTCGGATCGTTCTCTTTCATGTAGCATTCGTATTTTCAGGTTCTGGCATTCCGCTTTGAACTTTCACGCCCTACGTCCCTGCGCGTGTTGACGTGAGGTCAGTGCACCATAGGTGGTGCTAGGTTTGCGTGCTGTGGATTGTTCTGCAGGCAGCAGGCTAAGATGTAGTGTAGATCTTGGTTGGTTGTCGACACAACGTACGTACATCCCTGCACATCCTTCATGACAATCATAACATCTAGTCTAGTCTAGTCTATGTGGAGATCACCTTCTTCGCCCTGGACTCTGGAAACTACTGTACCGCTGTACCCTTTGTTGTACAGCACGTGGTAAGCTCGTGCACGTTGTACCGCCAGCCTCTATGCATACATGCGTACGCTTATCTCTGCGGCGGCATGCATGAGTAGTTACATCTTGTCAAGTTGTACCGCTGTATCCAGAATGTATGCTTGGAGACAGAGGGCGGTAACAACGTGCCAGCGGAATTCATCCACGAGAGCGAGCTGCTGAATGGGCAATCGTAACTACAGCACGGCTGTCGCCATGCTGAGGTGTGCAACACGAAGAAGTCCCATTTCCTCTGCCCATCTGCCTTCCCACACGGCGAACTGCGAAAAAGTAAATAATAAAATCTAGACTAAATAAAAAAATACCAAAATATATAAGTGTCGTCTGCCTGCGTACGGCGAACTTTCATGTTGTAGATACGTACTGCTGTAACAAGGGCATTGGCATTGAAGCACAAGGACGACTGACTGCTGTTACACATGAAGCGGGGGAGCACATCTCCACCATCGTTGGAATCTCGTGTATCACTGCTGCAGCACCCGTGGTCCGTTCTTAACTCTGAAGTGAAAAATATACGCATGTGCGACGTACGTACAAAGTAGAAGCTTGCTGCACGCTACAACAGTGATGCACTGAAGAACGACTCGGTCAGCTCGTTCACAAAGGCAAAATACGCCGTCGTAGCGACAAAGCTGCAGTGCGCAGCGGAGACGATCGACGATCATCATGTGCGGGCTGCTTATCACCAGTAATCAGTAGTGTCCCCTTTCGCCTACATGAACGGATATTTGGATTATCTAGTATGATTGGAACTTTACCAATCCCGCGAACCAGGAGGAAAGCTCATAAGGAACGTTCGTGGTATGTAGATGCCACGCAGGAGGTTCCATCCTCATTGTTGATGCCCGACATCAGTGGAAGTGGATCCAACTTCAAACGCAAGTCTGGACTAGACTAATATCTACCCGACTTGCGTTGTCGACAACAAGCAGAAAGGAGTGAAATCCTCCCGCGGGTCCGGGCGATTGTCCGCAGCGCGAATGAGTGCGTGGGGTCCAGTGGGGCAGTCGTCCTGCCGACAACAGCCGGGACCCGGGAGGACACGTCACTATTTGTCCGATACCTTTAAACGTACTATTCGACAATAGATCGGACAAATAGAGTGTGACATCTTCCCGGGTTCCGGCTTTTGTCCGCACACGACCCCACGCGCAGCAGCACAGCAGTTCACATCAACCCTTTTTCCACGCCACCTCCCTCTCCTCTTGCGCCTCGTACGGCATATGCGCAAGAATACCGCAAGCAGACAGACAGGAGGAAGAGCACGCAGTGGCCTCATGGTGTAGACGGGCGAGTCCTCCCCGCGCAAGATTATTCTTTGCTGGTTCTCTGCTAGCATGGAGAGAGAGTTTGACTTGATGTGCCCCCGTCCCAATAACCTCTTCTCTCCCGAACGCTTGAAAAGCGACACTGCAATTCGTGCAGAGGCTGCCGGACAGTACAATTACTCCCTCCCTGTCTACGTTCTGGTGCGATTTCGTGTGGTGGGGTTGAAGGTGGTGGCACAGACACGCACACGCATTGCATGCACGCACACCCAACAGCAAAGCAGTGAGAGATAGCGCTGTCGGCAGGGTGCAGCTGTCACGCAGCGCACCACAAAAAAGCAGTACCACCTGTCGTCAGGGGAAGTTCGTTGGGTGGGGGGGCGGGCGGTGTACTCATAGTTGTGCGTGCCGTAGGCGTTAGACCATTGACCTCGCATCCCTACAAAGCCGGGACGGAGCACGCCGGGTTCTCACCGGACCAGGCTCTCACATCACCAAGCGCGAAGCGCCGTGAGATATTCGGCGAGTCGCATGAAGGGTGCGCTGCATCCTGCGAAGGGTGTTCGGCATCTTGTGCTCACTTCCTTGCATACGGATGACAGCTGCGTATGACTTCATTTACTCAGTATTTTCTGGTGCTTTCACTTCCAGATACAGTTGTAAGATCTGTGTAACTGCCTCGAGGGTGCTTGACCAATTTAACACGACGTGGTGTGATCATCCCCCTTGCGCGGAGTGAGGGTTCTCCACCCCGCACAACATGATCTACTTGACCACCATTATGGTTGCCGCCAAAAAAAACAGAGCTAAAAAAATGAACGGTATCCTGGTTGCCGAGTTCACGAAGTGAATT